ATAATAATAATAATAATAATAATAATAATAATAATAATAATAATTTCAACTCAAGATGAAAACCCCAGGACAGATCTTCTCACTGCTTAGAGCAGTGTTTTCTCAATCTTCCTAACCATTTAGTACAGTTCCTCATTTTGTGCTGAGCCCCTCAACCATAAAATTATTTTCATTGCTACCGTTATGAATCATAATGTAAACATCTGTTTTCCCATGGTCTTGTGACCCAAGGTGTCATGACCCACAGTTAGAGAACAACTGGCTTAGAGTGAAAATTATACCTTGCTCTTCATTCTCACTCTAGAGGGAGGGAAAATAGTAGAGAAAAAAGAAAACAAATTCCCTTAGAAAAACCTTAGGGTCCACTCATAAGTTATTATCTCTGGGAAATTGAGAGAGAGAGAGAGAGGCTGTCCCTAAATCAGATATAGAATCAAAAAAGGTTATTACAGGGCTAGTGACCTGAGTTCAACCCAAGACTTCCATGGTAGGAGAGAATAGATTGCTGCAAAGTATCCTCTGATCTCCACAAAAGTACTTTGGCACATGCACACACACCCATAAATACATACTTTTACACACACGAAAATAAATGCAATAAAATTTAAAAAGAATGGCTATATAGTCTATGTAAACAAAAGCCCTGTTACAAATAACAGATGAACATAAAAGCAAATCCATTACTATCATTATCACCGTTAAACATTACTCTCCAGGTAGGTACTAACCAATACTATTGGAGAAGAAAATAATTAAAAACTAAAGGCAAAAAACTTGGTAAATAAGCCGGGCATTGGTGGCACATGCCTTTAGACCCAGCACTTAGGAGGCAGAGGCAGGCGGATCTCTGTGAGTTCGGGGCCAGCCTGTTCTACAAAGCGAGTTCCAAAGCAATACAGAGAAACTCTGTTTCAAAAAAAATCAAAAAACAAACAAAAACCCAAAATCGTGTTAAATAAGTAAAATTATCAGTGAATGCAAATATGACTATATTCCTAGAAAAGTAACAAACAAATACACACACCAAAAGCTTCTATGCATGCAACAATTCAGGAAACCTAATAAAGAAAACTGACCATGTAAGTAAGCAATACTGAAGGGCTGGCAATCTTGCCCAGTGATGGAGTGCTTCCCTAGTACACCCAAAGCCACGGGTTTAATCCCCAGCACTGAAAAAAAAAAAAAACCAATTAGGAAATCAAACATCTGTAAACGAGAGAAGGGAGAGGGAAACTTTAAAAATACAATTTCTCTCAAAGTTTCTTTATAAACTAAGTAAAATATGAGTAAAAGAAACCTTCAACAGGGGGCTGAAAAGATGGCTCAGCAGTTAAGAGCACTGGCTGTTCTTCTAGAGGACCCAGGCTCAATTCTCAGCAACCACGTGGTGGCTCACAATTGTCTGTAACTCCAGTTCCAGGAGACATGACAGCCCCACACAGATATATAAGCAGGCAAAACACCAATGCACATAAAATAAAAATAAATAAAAACAACACATCAACAGTGCTTTCATTTGGGTTTTAGTTTTAGTAAGTAGAAAGCCTAATTTTAAATTCATATGTAAAATAAGCAACCAATAATTAAGCTCATAAAACAAGTACACAGGGAATAATTGCAAGGCATATTGTTGTACGTCTGATGAACCCCGTATGCAGTAAGTAAATAAATGGAAAGTATCCAGGAAATTCCTGAAACAGAAGAGAAGTAATAGTAACTCTAAAACTATTATAATAAAAACTGTATTAACAGACACAAGAATGAGTCAACGAAATCAAATTGGCTGTCTGTCTAGAATACTAGAATTCAATATAATCATAAACCTAAATTTTTATATTATGTTCAAAATAGAATATAAAAGGGATATTATAGTAATGGCAATAAAGTAGGTTCATATCTCAAATTTAATTATCATAAACTCAAAATGGATAAAAGATGGAAATGTAAAAAAGTGAATGAAACAATTAGAAGCATACACTGGGAAGAAAGCCAAAAGCACATAATGAGAGCAATTCATACAGCAGCAATGAAAAAAACATTACTGAACATCACAAACTTCTTAGAGTCAGGCATCTTTGCCCATGTCTGCCCTAGAACTCAGGAGACTGAGGCAGAAGGCTCACTTCAAATACAAGGCCAGTTCCAGGTGAGCCAGCAACACAGTAAGAACTCACAAAACCAGGAGGCTGGAAAGAGGGTTCAGCATGTTCTTCCAGATGAACTGAGTTCAGATCCCAGCACTCACTCAGGTGGTTCACAACCACCAGGGGAGCCAACACCCTCTTCTGCCTCAGGTACTGAACTAAGGCGCCCAAATTCATTCATAGACAAACATATGCACATAAGTACAATATTTTAAATGAATTTAAATGAAAAGGGAAGGCCAGGCGTTGGTGGCACACGCCTTTAATCCCAGCACTCGGGAGGCAGAGGCAAGTGGATCTCTCTGTGAGTTTGAGGCCAGCCTGGTCTCCAGAGAGAGCGCCAGGATAGGCTCCAAAGCTACACAGAGAAACCCTGAAAAAAAAAAAAAAAAGAAGAAGAAGAAGAAGAAGAAGAAGAAAAGAAAAAGGGAAGCCAGCAGTGGTGGCTAGATGAAGTCCATCTAGTCTTCAGGAGGCAGGAGCAGGACTGGTGAAGTGATTCAGTGGGTAAAGACACTTGCTGCCAAGCATCATAACTTGAACTCAATCCCCAGCACCCATGTGGTAGAAGAAAAAGACAACCAATCTCCAAGTTGTCTCCTGAGTGCTGCCACACATATGCCATGGCATACACAATAACACAGACAGACAGACAGACAGACAGACAGACAGACAGACACAGACACAGACACAGACACAGACACAGACACACACACACAAACCAAACTTCCAAAAATGTTTAGAAAATTTAAGGCCAAGATTGGTACTGTACTTTAATCCCAGCACTCAGAGGCAGAAGCAAGAGGATCTCTCTGAACTCATATTCAGTCTACATAGTGCTTGAGTTCCAGGCCAGCCAAGAGTACATAGTGAGACTCTCCCCCCACCCCACCCACCCCCAAGCAACATATTTTCAAGAGACACAGTCACACAGTCAAGAAGACCACTCCAGTGGGCATGGTAACATATACCTTTATTCTCTAACACTCAGGAGGCAAAGGCAGGTGGAACTCTGTGAGTTCAAGGACAGCCTGATCTATATAGCAAGTTCCAGACTAGCTAGAGTTATGTGGTGAGATTAAAAAAGAACATTCCTGCAAGGTGGAGGCACAAGCCTTTAATCCCAGCCCTAGGGAGGCAGAGGCAAGGGCCAGCCTGGTAACAACATGGCCAGGGCTACACAGAGAAACACCTGTATTGAGGGGAGGGAAAAAAAAAAAAAAAAAAAACACTCCAAGATGGAGGCCAACCTGCTGGTTTATATATTGAGTTCCAGTCCACAGACCCAAAGTAAAAATAAAATAAAAATCCTGACTCGAAAAACCAAAATAAATAAAATAAAATGGAGCTGAGATTACAGCACAAGCAAGAATGTGCTTAAAAATTAAAATGTACTGTCTGGAGATGGGTCAGCAGTTAAGTATGAAACTTAAGAAACTTGAGCAGGTAAGACTGAAAGAGCATGTCAGGTGGTGGTGTCACACACCTTTAATCCCAGGCAGAGGCAGGTGGATCTCAGTGAGGTCAAGGCGAGCCTGGTCTACAGAGCGAGTTCCAGGACAGCCAGGACTACACAGAGAAAGCCTGTCTCTAAAACAGAAACAAACAAAAAAGACTGAAAGAACAGTTAAGAGCTCTTGCAAAGGACCCAAATTTGGTTCCCAACATCCACATAAGGAAGTTCACAACTGCCTGTAATTTCAGCTCCAAGGGGATGCCACGCCTTGCCCTCCCCAGGCACCTGGACTCACTTTGGGTCCAATCCCCAGTATCCTTGCCCAATACTCCTACTTGAGTTATTGTTTCCTTAAGCAGGCACAGAGTGTAACATCCAGGGGCTGGAACAAGACTCAGTGATTAAGAGCACTGGTGGCTCTAACAGAGGACCCAGGTTCAATTCCAGTGTCCACATGGTGGGTCACAACCCTTTATAACTCCAGTTCAGTGGCCACCAGGCACACAATATGCACAAATATATATACAGACAAAACACCCATACATACAAGCACATATAATAACTTTTTTAAAAAGTGTGACATTCCACAAAGCAAAACAAGGAACAACTTCTGTAAAAGAATAATTTCCAGTCCTCAAAGGCTATAAATCCCTGAAGCTACTACACTTCAAGGCAGAAATACCTCACTCGCCGGGCGGTGGTGGTGCTCACCTTTAGTCCCAGCACTCGGGAGGCAGAGGCAGGTGGATCTCTGTGAATTTCAGACCAACAAGAGCTAGTTCCAGGACAGCCTCCAAAGCCACAGAGAAACCCTGTCTTGAAAAACCAAAAATACCTCACTCATATTATGTGTCATTCAAAAAAAAAAAAAAAAAAACCCAAAACATAATATTTGATAGAATTAAACAGATCGGGGGAAAAATTCAAATAGGAAACCCAATGTGGTAGGTAGTACATGCCTAAATCCCATCGTTCAGTAGGTGGAGGCAGGATTATTGTGAGTTCAAAGTCATTCACCCACAGAGCAAATTCTAGGTTAGTCTGGGATACATAAGACTGTTTCTATTTTTCTTTATTTTAATTTTTTAAATGTAGATGTGGATGCAGTTAGTTCAGTGATAGGCCCTGGGTTCAAGGCCCATCATTAGAGAGAGAGAGAGAGAGAGAAAGAGAGAGAATGAATCATGACCCACGGCAGGAGAAAAATTATTATACCGAAGCTCAGAAATTATAAAAATGACAGTTAACAGATAAGGACACTCAAATAGCTACCATTAAAAAGACATGATTAGGATATGAAAACAAAAGAAAAGCAACTGGAGGGGCTGGGAAGATGGCTCAGTCGGTAAAGGGCTTGCTGCACAAGCAGGAGGACCTGAGTTCAATCCCTATAGCTGTCATTAAAAGCCTGGCATAGTGGCGCAGCTCTGGGGAGGCAGACAGGTGGATCCTTGGGGTTTACTGGCCAGCCATCAAGCGTAATTAGCAAGCACCAAGCAGTCAGAGACTCTCAAAAATACAAAGTAGACAGCCTCTGAGGAATGGCATCAAAGCTGACTTTCTGGACACCATGTACGTGTACACACACACACACACACACACACACACACACACACACACACAGAGGCAGGCGAGCTGGAGAGCACTATAGTTAAGAGACATTGCTAGTCTTGCAGAGAATTGAGTTAGGCAGCACACAGCTACCTTTAACTCCAGCTCCAGGAGATCATTTCCACTCTCCAGCATAGGCACCTATGTAGGGAGTAACCCTAGCCCCGCCCAATAGTCCTGGGGCAGGTACCAGGTGGACCTGGGGACTCGCCCATAAGGGCGGGGTGAAGGAAAGCCGGCATGACGTAAAGGGGGCTTCTTAAAGGACTGCACGTGGGGACCGGGCTCTCTCTTCGTTCTGGCCGCGCTGGCTGGGTTCTTAACCTAGCTCTGGCCTGTGTTTCACCCGGTTGTGCTTGGAAATAAAGAGACCTTAATCCAATACACCTACACTCACAAACATACATACATGTAATCAAAAATAATTAAAATAACCTGGGTGGTGGTGGCACACACCTTTGATCCCAGCACTGTGAGTTAGAAGCCAACCTAGTCTACAGAGCTAGTTTTGAGACAGGCTTCAAAGCTACAGAGAAACCCTGTCTCGAGAAGAGGAAAAGAAAAAAGAAAAAAAGCATGCACACACACACAAAAAAAAAAAAAGAAAGAAAATAACATATTTAACCACAGCACTGGAAGTAGATCTCTTTGAGTTTGAGGCCAGCCTAGTCTACAAAGTGAGTACCAGGCCACCCAGGGCTACAAAGAAGGCCCTGTCTCTAATAACAATTATTATCATTATTATTAATTAATCTTCCAAGGCAAGATGTGCTCACTGGTACAATAACATGGCTGTTATAGGAGCAATCAACCCCTTTCTGACTAAATAGGTGGCCTGCTACACTCAGCCTTCTGATGTTCCTTGACTCCAAACTTTCCTAAATAAAGGCAAAGCACCCCAATCAGAACTTTGGGAAAAAACAAAAAACAAAGAGAAGCCCCTACTGTTGTTGTTTGGGCAAAATGAACTGGTGTCCAGCTGTGCCCTCCATTTTTCATGTTTACAGTCA